TTAATAAATATTTTTTATTTTTATACTAAAATAAAGATGATAATCTATATTTTTAATATATATTCTTCTAAAATATTTTAGAATATTTTAGAATTTTCTGTTCACTTGTAAACATAGAAAAAAATTTTTTATAATTAAAATTGCAATTTTTCAACTTTAACTATAAAAAAATTTGTTTCTATGTTTATAAGTGAACAGAAAATTCTAAAAAATTCTAGAATATTCTAGAAGAATATATATTAAAAATATACGTTATCATCTTTATTTTAGTATAAAATAAAAAATATTTATTAATAAAATAACAAATTTTAATATAAAGTAATAATGTTAATTTTACTATATTTTTTTTTCAATTTCTGGTAATATAATATAGAGGTATGTAAAATAAATTTTTTGGTTTTTAAAAATATTTTTGATTTAGATATTTAAATTTTTATTTTTTTAAATTTAAATTTTTTTTAATAAAAGTGAATTTATAGTTAGAAATTAGAATTACAATTTTATTTAGAATTATTTTTATTTATATTTATAAATATTAATTATTATATAAATATTTGTAGATTAAATTATATTTTATAACTTTATTTATAATAATAATTATATTTTTTAATAAAAATAAATATTTATTTAAATATAACTAAAATATTTTTGTTTTTATATTAATAAATATTTATTATAATTATTATATAATTCTATAAATATTTGTTATTAATATTAACTTTTATATAAATTTGTAGCTTTAATTATATATTTTATAATTTTATTTATAATTATAAATTATAATTTATATTTTCTATTAAAAAATAAAAGTTTATTTAAATATAACTAAAATATTTTTGTTTTTATATTAATAAATATTTATCATAATTACTATATAACTCTATAAATATTTGTCATTAATATTAATTATTATATATAAATTTGTAACTTTAATTATAATTTACAATTTTACTTATAATTATAGTTTATATTTTTTATTAAATATAAAAATTTATATTAATATAATAAAAGAAAATTAAATTATAATTATTAAAAATATTTTTTAAATCTATATAACTTTATAAATATTAATTGTTTTATATTATTTATAGTTTTAATTATATTTATAACTTTATTTAAAATTAATTTATTAATTTATTATTAAAAATATTTGAATTTAAACTTGATTTAAATTTGAATTTTAGAAATATTACTAATTATTATATCTTGAAATTAAAATTTTTTAACTTCAATTTGGTGATTCAACTAAAATACAAAAACTGAAAAATTTACTTTGTGTAATCTAATACACTTTGAAAAAGGTTATATAATTTTATAAAATCAAAGATAATAATATAATTTGATTGATTAAAAATAACTTGATATAATTTAATTGATCAATACAAGTCATGTTTTTTATTTGATATATTTTATTAATTATTAATTATAATATTTTAAATCAATGTAAGTCATATTTTTTTAAAAGTTAATTACAAAATGGTTTACAAAATATTTATCTAGTTTTATAACTGATTTTGCAAACATTTTGTTTATAAAACTGATGAATTGGATAAAAAGATAATTATCCAGAATGAAGTTTATATGAACAAAACCTATACAACTTGGATGAAAATAGAGTAAAAATATTTTTAAGGGTTTTGCTTGATGGAACTATTTGTATACTGTAAACTTTTTATTTTTGTATAGATTATATTTGGCTATATTTGACTATCTGTTTATCAATAGATTACATCTTTACAGGACGCGTGAAGTAATTTAGATTTAGATGTAGACTTTTTTGACAAACTCCAGAAATTAATGAATGAAATAAAAATATTTATAATCCTAGAATTTCTTTGCTTTTATCACGTATCACATGCTTTTTAACTTTCCCAGTTACAGTCTTTGGAAATTCATCGACAAATATTACGTATCTCGGTATTTTATAATGTGCAATTTTCCCCTTGCAGAATTGTTGAATATCTTCTGGGGTTACAGCACTATCGTGCCTTCGAATTATCCATGCGCAAACTTGTTCACCGAATACGGGATCAGGTACACCAACTACTGAGACATTTGCGATAGCTGGATGTTCAAAAATGATATTCTCTATTTCGGCTGGAGCTATTTTCTCTCCTCCACGATTTATTTGATCTATTGACAATACAATTAATAATATCATTGTTATTAAATCAAAAGGTTGATTGAATAAACTAAAAAGAACCAACCTTTCATGCGACCTACTATAGTACAATAACCTTCTTCATCAATAATTGCGGTGTCACCTGCATTTCATTAATTTTAATTTATCATTTATTGTTTAATATATAATCGAGTATTTATTTATTACCTGTATGCATCCATTTTATTCCTTTCTCATCAATACTCATAGTATTTTTTGTTTGCTCGTCATTATTCCAATAGCCTCCTTCCATAACCACATAACCGCTTGTGCATAATTCTCCGGATGTATTCAATGGCAAAATTTCATTGGTTTTTGGATCAACAACTTTTGCACGAACATGTGGAAGTATTCTTCCGACTGTCTCAACGCGTCTATGCAGTGGATCGATCTTTTTGGTTTGGAATGAAATTGGTGACGTCTCTGTCATCCCATATGCGATGGTAAGTTCATTGAGATTCATTTTCTCGATAACGTCTTTCATGACTTCGATCGGGATTGGTGAACCAGCAGCTATTCCGGTTCTTATCAATCATGAAACACGTCTGATTAATATATTTCGTACAAATTTAATACTCAGCCTAAAAAATAATACCTTAAGCTGGTTAAATTAAAATTGCGAAAATTTGGATGATCCAACTCTTCGATAAACATTGTTGGCACTAGATTTCAGGATATCATACATCAGATATTTGGTTAATTGCCATCCATGACAAAAATTTGATCAATGGATAACAATACCGCCATGCAATCCGGTACACTTTTCTTCCTCAACAGCACGAAGAGTTGCTTCAACATCAAAACCTTCACTTGGATACACGACAGAAGATCCTTTCGTCAAAGCCGCAAGATTACCTAACACAACACCTATTGGTTATATATTGAATGGTTATTCATTAATAAATTAAATTATATGTCCTCTTCCGATTAAAAAAAATCAAAAGCCCACCAAAGCAATGATAGAGAGGGACAGGAACGCATAATATATCATTCGGTGTAAGATTCATATTTGTGGCGGTCGCCTGATTTAAACAAAAATCTCAATAAGATATCGAGAAAACAATTGACACTCAATAATTGATCACTAACCTCTCCATTATTCAAAATATTTCGGTGTGATAATGAGACACCTTTTGGTGCACCTGTTCATACATGTACAATTGTCATAATGGGGAAAAAATGAATATGGGAATTATCAAACAAAAAAATTACCAGTAGTTCCAGAAGTGAATTGAATATTTATAATGTCATTATTTGATAATGTTTCTCCTATTTCTTTCACCGGATCATTATCCAAAACGTCATATTGAAACATTTCACGAAATCTTATTAATCCTTTGACATTTCCAAGATCTTCTGTGGAGTGATGTGTATCAACAACTATAACTTGTTTAAGATCAGGAAGTTTCACTGATACTAAGGAATTCGGTTCACAAGAATTCAATTCCGGTGCAAGTTCTTGAATCATTTTTATATAATGTGATGATTTAAAATGCGGTGTGAGCACAAGCGATTTTACACCAACAACATTAAGCGCCTGCTCTAATTCATGTACTCGGTAAGCGGGATTAATAGTCACCAGAATAACACCGATTTTACTGGTTGCATATTGCAAAGTAGGCCAAGCAGAATTATTTGGCATAAAAACGCCTAAACGATCGCCTTTCCTTAGTCCACTATTAAGTAGACCACGAGCTAGAGCATCAATTTTCTCTCCAAACTGACGATAATTCCAATGGAGATTATTCTCTTGTTTCACAACAACTGCTTGATGGTCGCCATATTTTGAGATAATATTGTCCAAATAATTTCCAATGGTCTCTTCTAAAAGAGGTTTATCTTCTATACCTTCCACGTATGAAAGACTACTTTGACTTCGAAAAGGCGAAAAACCCAAAGGCCAACTTGTTACAATTTGTTTGCTGGAAGTTTTGAAATGGTACAATAGACGCGATTTAGTTATAGAAGTTTGACACAAAGCCAAATTCCGAAACATTGTTTTTCAATAGTATTTCGAACATGAAATGAAGGTTTTCAATAGTATTGAATTGCAAGGATTTTTAAATGTAATCATATTCAATTTTATAAGTAATGATCTGCAAAAATTTCGACTTTATAAGTCATGATCTGCTAATTGTGCAGATCATTTCAATGTCATACAAACAAAAGGTAATCTTTGGAACATCTTGTCGAAGGTACCTTTAAATTGGATAAAATGGGAGATGATTCTACGCGTCATGTAGTGTTAAGCACTTCAATGGTTTGTATCATCTGAAGTAATAGATTTTTTTGATTTCATTTTTTGATTAACAAATTTGTTAATTTCTTATATTTAGGGCGATATTACTTTAGAGCTATATTGGAATCATGCCCATAAAACTTGCGAAAATTTTTACCAGTTGGTAATTTGGAGAATTTTTGATTTCTTTTTATCATTTTTCTGGTTGATAATAATTGATAATAAGCATTCGAATTTGTAAAGGCAAAACGAGGATACTATAATGATGTGATTGTGAGCATCCATTTATTCATTTCATTTGAACTTTTGCAAATGCTAAAAGTTCTTCACGTGACCTCGTAATTATATGAATTCAAGTTTCACAGGATAATACCGGTACTCTTTAATTTCATATCCTTTGTTCAGTTCCATTTTATCCTGCCAATAAACCAATATAATCTGCCCACTAGGATTTTATGATTCAAGGTGGTGATCCTACAGGCACAGGACGTGGAGGGCAATCGATATACGGGTGAGAATAATTTTATGTAATTATGAGAAACCTTGATCAAGAAATTCTGACACGTAATTTTCTTATCAGTCGTCATTTTGAAGATGAGTTAAGTCCCGAACTCAAACACACCGGTGCTGGCATATTAAGTATGGCTAATTCAGGGCCTAATACTAATGGTAGTCAGGTAGGAATAACAATGCATAATAAAGATCGATATCATTTTGATTACTACTTAGCATGGCAACTATCAAATTCTTTATTGGGAAAATAATCAGTTTTTTATTACTCTGTCTTCTACTCCTTGGTTGGATGGTAGTTTTATACAATTTTTTCAAAGTTAATTGATTTGAAGAGTTTTTGTATTTTGATTTTGATCGATTTCTTTAAAAAAACATAGGTAAACATACAATATTCGGGAGAGTGAGTCAAGGAATGCGAGTGGTTAAACGCATGGGATTAGTTGCTACTGATTCTCAAGATCGGTAAACAGATTTTCTTATGCACTGCATGTTGAAACATTGATGAATTTTTTCACTTAATCTTTTTTTGCTCCTCCTAAATAGGCCAAAAGAAAATGTCAAAATTTTGAGAGCTCTGGCAGTTGATGAATGATAAGAATATAAATTAATGGATATTCCTTCAATCAACAACAAGTACTTTGTACTTTTTTGCAATTTGCACTTGTTTTCCATCGTTTTGTACTAATACAAAGATAAAAATAGTTTTTCATTCTTCTGCATGATCTCGGATATGGGTAACATCAACTTATCTTTCATTATCATCTCTGTGATGAGATAGCAACAATATATTAGCAAATAAAGCAATAGCAAGTGCAAATTTACTTGTTTTTTCAATTTAATCCGATAAAAATCCGATAAGGATCTGATATGATAAACTTTCTTGCGATGCTTCAATTTCTTTGCCGAGAGTTTTATTCCATTTTCTTCAGAATTTTTTACAGTGTGATTGAGCACCTCGTGGTAACTTCTATGAGAATATCGGTGAGTGCTAAACGTCGTGAGTGATTACACGTATTCAATTAGATCAACAATAACGGCTAGTTTCGTCGACTAGACGCTGAAAAACCATAATCAATAAGGAAGAACACGAGTCGCGAAAAGTTGATTTACAATTCATCTCTATGAATAAATAAAGATCTTCGTCTTCCTTTCAAACTATCAGTGGAAAGAAGAAATGTTGATAGAATCCAAATATAATCTATATCGGGCTCATTTTTTTTATTTACATACATATTGTGCTCATATTAATCAAAATGACTATATGTATAATCCAATAAAAACTAATAAATATATAATTTAATCATCATCCTCATCCGTGCTAAAGTACAAGTTATGCAAGAACTTCGTATAATGGGAAAAGGTACTTTCATGAGTTCCAATAAATGGATCACCCTTGGCGGCAATTATCATGTCCACCATAAATAGCAAAAAGTTCATAAGAGGCGTTTGATCCTTTGGATTTTTGAGATTTTTCAATTCTTCAAGTTCTTGATTAAAATCCGATAATGTTAATATGCACGGGTAGGCATTATATAGTGCATCATAGCTTTCATGATTACGTGGCTGTGGCAAATCGGTAGCCATGTAAATTAATGTATTTCTCAATGGATCGAACTTGCTTAGACAATCGTCGGCTGAATCAAACGATATTGGTGAGTCATAAAATTCGTAGTCTTCGGGTAATATGAAAGTCAAGTCGAAATCTTCACTGACAGATTCTAATTGTTCAATGAAATCGTGAACAGTCGCATCAGAAGACTCTAAAAATTTTGCATCACTTAATCGCACATGCATTCCTAGATAACCGCCTTTTCCTCCGAGCTTATCCACGATTTTATTTGCAATAGCAAGAACAGTCGGATGTGTAAAATCGAATGCGGCTTTAATTTTCTCGCGTACCTCATGAGTTTCTTGAAATTCGGATATAATTCGTCCGGAGCCAAATAAAGTTTCGAAATATAATACTTTTTGTGGCCATTTCTCTAAATCCTCGACATTCATACGGGCCGCAAATTTCCACAATTTCGCTTCACTCTCCGGATCATCGTAAAATCGAAGTCCATACGGATTGTTATCTTTAAAGAAAAAGATATCTTTCTTTTCCACATTAATTCTTTGCATTAACCATTCTAGACTAAAATTTTCAGCAAAAATATAACGAATCCCTAATTCTTCAGTAAGTGACACGAATTCGTAAAAACTATCCCATGGCATAATTGTCCAGGAATTATATTCTTTGCAATCTTTCAGGATTTCATTATTAGCCAATGCGCTCGGACACCTTTCCAAGCCTGATTTATTCAAATTATTGATGTTTTTGTAGAGCGTATTAAAAGGTTTCCATGGATTTTTTTTGCCAAATATTATCGGTGGAATAATTAATGTACGGTTTAGAAGATACGACAATAATAACGCGTTTTCTAATTCCACGCGTTGATTGTTGAATTGACCATGAGTTAAATAGGCTAAGAACAGTTCACCTTCTGCTTTTTTACCTTTGGGTATCTTATAATCGGGAATTGGAAATGGACCACCACCTGGACGTAATGGAGATTTGATTGGAATTACTTTTGGTTTGGGAATTTTTTTATTACGATTCGGATTTGTGGATTTATCGTCATTGTTATCGCTAGCGTCAATAGTAACATTATTTTCAATTTCTTTGTTACTTTCCTCACTATTATTCTCTTTTGTTGCTGTAACAGTCGTCTCTACATTTTTATCTTGCCAGTCTTCTTTCGTTGGAGTCGATTTAGTATTATCTACAGTTGTGCTATTGTCATCGCCATTTTCTTCATCTGTATTATCATTTTCAAGGGTGGGAATAATATCACTATCACCTTCACCTTCACCTTCTGTATCATCATTTTCAGGATTTGGAATCTTTATTTCATTAGTATTTTGGTGATCCGGAGATGAATTCGTTGATGTTGTTTCTTTGATGGCAGGAGTGTCACTTTCATGAAGGTATAGAAATTCACGCGAGTCTTCACGCGATATCTCCAGAAAGTCTGTATATATGAGTAAACACATTATTCCCAGCAACATTCCAACCAGCAATGCTAACGACTTTCGATTCATCATTTTTTAATGCTATAAATTTTTTGAGTAAATATCAGTGAGGTTGCGCTGCAACGTCTCGAGCTGGGTGAAAAAAAGTCGGTTCGCGAGTTTTGAATAGTGATAAATCTAATTTTTATTTTAAAGGTTTCGAAACAAAAAAAAGCACAAGGATTCATTCAAGAAATAACACTTATAATCGTAATGTAACACAAATATAATGTGACACACATTCAATAATTAAATAGGAGGCACCATGAATTTATTCTATATCAATATGTACAAAGTTATAAATTCACACGATGAGCTACGCATACACATACACATACACAAACAAGAGAGAGGAAAAATTATTTAACTCCCAATGTCACATTCTGCAGTGATTGGATTCCAATTCATTTGAATATTATACTTGATATCGTTAACAATCATATTATAATCAGCATTGTTTTCGGCTTTGGCAGTTTTCCCAAAATTGAAATTACACTTATCAGCACTTTCTTGACCATTTGAATCATACCAAGCACTCAAAAAAGGATCATTCATAGATTCGATTAGTTCATGCGCCATAATATTAATCATTCCGTCAACACCGACATTCGAGTTTGGCGAAATGTTAGGATTTCCCGTTGCACAACCGGATGCACACTGTTCTTCGGCATTTCCAACATAGGAGTATATCAACTGCGTGTTGCTTGGACGTGTAAAATGCGAATGATATCCACAATAATCTTTACAAAATCCTTCGGATCGGACATCTTTCGATGAGAGAATAAAGTAAATAGCATTTGATTCTTCGGGTAAAATGTTTTGATCGAGCGCTTCATTTACAATGTCAATATGATTTTGTTTGGTGAGTGATGAACCATGTGTGTATTCGTTGGTTAATACATGGGTAAGTTTGATTGGACCAGTGATATTTTTGTTCACTAGATTAGAATACTTTTGTAATGTTTGAAACCACGGCGTGCCATCAACATTTTCAAAGAATGTCTGAAGAATGTTACGTTCATCTTGATTATTCCAATCTCCGTAATAGATAAAATGAATATTCGTCAGCCCGCTCATTACCTCTCCTTGATGATAGTCAATATTCGTGGCTGGATTGTTAAAAAAAACTTGATGACCGTTAGCTGCTTTATTATTTGGATTGTATAGAGGAGCAATGCCGAGTGCTGTTGCACCTCTTGTCACAATTTTTGGCTTGGAACTTTTAGTAGTTTTTGGCTTGAAACTAGTAGTTGATTTGACATTGATTGGAAGTCGTGTGTGTGGTTTGATATTGTGTTTATGATGATGGTTGTGGTGATTTGGATTTGGGTTTTTTGTTACTGGGTGGGCAGATACTCGATTATGGTCGTTTGACGAAAACGCTATGAATAGGGAAAAAGTGGCAGCAAAAAGTATTAAAAGATTTTTACTAAAATACATTTTCGAAATGTATTATTATAATTCGATTAATATATTAATTGATTAGAGAGTATGAAAAGAAGGAAGTGTAAATAAAGTGCGAAAAAAAAAGAAATTAATCAAAATAAGAATTAGCGCAAGCGCGTTATTTTGCAAATTCGAAATAGATTATTTTCGAAATCCCTTTTCAAAGCAACGACCAGCGAAGTATCTAGACAAGGAGGAAGACAGCGGAAAAAAGAAAGTGTAGCGTTTGTATATCTGTGTATGTAGCGGCTGAGATCTTTACAGCATTTGAATTTCGTTCCATCTTATATCATTTTTTCATTTGTTTATTTTTCGCGTTTTTGTTCCCATGTGGACTATTGTGTGAGCACGCGTACTGTCTGTCTTCCTATGGAAATATTTCGATTTGTGTACTCGTTACAAATTTGGACAATAAAAACTCTCCTGTATTATTTTATTTTTATCAGGAATAAAGAATTCATGAATTTAAAAGAAAAACAATGCCTTGTTTAGAGAACAAAGCTTGAATTAATTTTAAAAAGTTAAAAATAACGGCCATTTGTTTGCATCATTCGTCTAAATTTGTCTCATAATAGATGTGCATGTTTTGGGATGATCATTTCCAACATAATAGACAAAGAAAAGCATTATTTTAACCAAGATCGAATAGAATTTAATAGCTGGATAATACAGAATTGATGTCTATCTAGCTTACGGAGGAAGTAAGAAAATACGATTTATACTATAAGAGAAATATTAAAAGGAGGAAATATGTAGAAAGAAATTCCTACAAACTAATAACATTGATTTATACTGTTTACATAAAAAAAAAACAAGCTGTCTCTCAAGCTCAAAGAGTAAGAGTCAAACTTATTTGGCTGATCGTGTGACACGCGGTTGAGATTCTTCGTTGGTAGAATGTGCAGAGCGTGTAACACGTTTTTTAGGTTCTTCACCAACCGAATCTGTGACAGGAGCCCGGGTTCGTTTAGTTGGTGGGTTCATTGTGTGATCAATCGGATTTTTGGATTTTCTGGCCCTCTTCGCTTCACCGTCAACCGTAGAAGCAGTGTTGGAACTGATGACAGTGTTTGAAGTAGCAATTGGAGGTGATGGGCCAGAATTAGACACAGTGAGTGAATTTTGAGAAGTTTCAACGGGTTTTTTGGAGTTTCGAGTGTTTCGTTTTTTGGAATTAGCTGATGGTGACGTTCGTGTCTTCTTCTTCTTGTTAGTTGACGACGAGGAAGACCGTGTATTATATGAAGCAACCTTGTTGATGCCATCCTTATTACTGGTCTTTAGATTTCTTTTTGCTTTCGATTGAGCAACGGATTTAGTTTTTCGAGTCCCATTAGAAATTCTACCGGGGGTCTTTCTTGTTTTTCCGTTACTTGAGACGTCTTTACTAGCAAGCGTTGATGAACGGGTATTATAAGGACCGTTGCCATTGACCTTTGATGCGGATCGAGTATTGTAAACCATCGCTTAATCTTCGTGAAAATAATAAAGTTTCAATGATCAATTCTTGTATTTACCATTCATTAATAACCGATAACAACTAGCATATAGAGATTTCCTAATCGAATCCAAAATCAGGCAAATATTGATGGACCACATCGAGATACTAATTCCTTCAACGATAACTGTCTGAAGTGAACGCTAGTAAAGCCAACTTACTTGTTGCGGTTACTTTCCCCTTGATTTTTTCCGAACTAGTTTCTCACGAAAGGATTGCTACGATTAAAAGTGTAAATTAATTGTGACGATGTTCGATTAAAATGACCTCGTCATCAATAGGTTCCAAAAAACAAACCAAATGAAGCGAACGTTTTAATTACCTTTACTGTTTCTAGTTATTCGATTCCTTAATGAGATGTTAATTTCCAAAAAAATGGTCAGATTAGTGGAAAAGAAGTGCAAGTAAGTGTGTTCGTAAAGCAAACAAATAGATAAAGTATTGTTGAAGTAACCAGTTTGAGGTTCGATCGAATCGAATGATCAAAATAATGCTAAACACAAGTTCATAGTGTTGTTGACTAGATAAAAAAGGTTCAGAGAGTCGCGTCTTGCTTTTATGATGATGGTCACCTGAATGGCAACATTTATTTGTGCATACAAGCGCAGTTAGCCTATTCTAACCAATCAAATATTCATCTGCTCTTTCACCAATCCCATAACATTTGGAATCTGTTCTAAAAACTATAAAAGATCAGAATCACGCACGTCCTCGTGATTCTCTACTTCATTCAGTAGGAAACTTTACCTGTATTTGTTGACTTTAAGTCTTCAAAACAGATAATTGTTTCTAACAAATGATGATTTGGGGACTTAAATCTGATTGAATAGTTGATTAAGGAAAATCCCTGGCCGCAACAGCCGTATCTGACTAACCGCTGAATGAAGTCTAATTATCGTTATACAGTGAAAATCATAATATACATTTGCTAAGCGATAAATATTATTGAATAATATAAATAAAATTTCTGGGGCATTATATACAAAAATGCAAATCAACAATAAAATTGAATGAAATGTTTCACAAGTATTGTTTCCAACTGATAATTAAATAATGCGGCGTAATGCGTGAGATTGGATGGGATAAAGCGCGTAAATGCAATCTTGTGCAAATCGGATGTGATCAGATCCACCATTGTTCGACGCTAAATCCTCAGCTTGGCTTAGTTAAAGAAACGTTCATTGTATGTGGAAGAAAATTGATGTTTGATTTTTTTTTAAAGGCTTGTATTTGAAGAAGTATTGGTGCTTGGTCTATTAAAAACGCTAGTTTCCCCATCAAAACCCATCCCTTTTACTCTTCTCTTTCTGTTCCACGAACCATCACCGTATTGTTTGTCCCATTTTCTTAATTCCGTTAAACTGGACATATCCTCGGAACAGGATGGTGTAACTTGTTTGAGTGCAAGTTGAAAATGATGCTCTTTCAATATCCGAATAGGTGGTGCTTCCTTCTTTTCTTGATTTTGGCTATCGCTTTTCGCATTAGCAACTTCTTTCTCTGCATCCTCTCGAACTGCAGCTAGCGCAGCACTAATGCATAAGTTCTTTAAATCTGAGCCAGAATATAGATTCGTAATTTTAGCTAGATGAGAAAGTGACACAGAAGGATCGAGTTTCTCATCACGCAGGTGTAATGTCAATATTTGTTCACGATCTTTTTCGTTCGGTAAATCAACTACAGAAAGAATTGGCATATTGATGAATTATTATTTAATCCAATAGTGCATTTTTTTTTAAAAAAAATAATGAACTTATTTACCTAAGATCCTTCTTGGCATTCTCCGTAGGATAGCATCATCTAAATCAAAAGGTCGATTTGTAGCACCCATTATTAAAACACCTTCATTTTGAGATGTGAGTCCGTCCCATTCTGCCATAAACTGATTGATAATTTCACGATGTGCTCCATTGTGATGGTCAGAACGACGTGAATTGAAAATGGCGTCCACTTCGTCCAAAAATAAAACACACGGTGAAAGTTTTCGAGCCAATGAGAATATTGCCTAGTAAATTAAATTTAATATGTCTGAAATACTTTTGATATAGTATGCATACAAATGATCAATATCAATGCGCGTACATACCCTAACATTCTTTTCACCTTCTCCAACGAACATATCATAAATATCGCTAGCTTTAATGTCCAAAACTGTGCTACCACTTTCCTTGGCGACAGCTTTTGCTAGCATTGTTTTACCCGTCCCTGGAGGTCCAAATAATAAAACCCCTGATATGAAATGTTTAGATAATACACCATAACTAAAGGATTGTGGTCGAACTAAGGGCAACGTAATAAGTGTTTGAAGCGTTTGAACAGTTGATCTTGACACATGAATATCAGAAAAGCCGGTTTGAATTTTTTCTTAGAAAAGCATAGAAATTAATATTAATTAATTGTTGAATTCCCGCCCAAAATCACACGAATATAGATAGCAATTACCTGGTACAACTATACAGCTTAATATTCTTTTTTCATGCCGGTCAAGATCATCTTTTTTTAAATTTTTGCGTCCTGGCAAATTAATTTTTCCATCACCAAGTCCAACAAGACTAACCATTTTTTCGACTCCTTTATTTGCAGGGTCATTGTTATTGGAGGCATTCTCCACAAATTCTTTACGCAGATTCTGATTGTTTTTCAATGTTTCTAATGCAAGGATAAAATGTTCAACTTCTAAAGTTACAGCTCCATTAACTCCTAGAACATTCTGATTATCGAGAGCAATACCAATAGCATTCATAACAAGTCGATGAACTTTTTCGAATCCCCAAACTTCACTTTCGATGTTTTCTAATTTGGACAGTATTTTTCCCAATGCATGAACGTCATCCTCCTCGAAATTGGCTCCCTTATTTACACATACAGCTCGAATATTACGAGTGTTGATTTGTCGAATTGCGATATTTTTATCTTCATTTATCAATGATTGCAGCTTATCCACTATCTCTTTCGATGATGATGGAGGTATAGCTATATGAGTGAATGGGACTAATAATGCTGGATTTGGAAATATGTCAAGATTTACCCATTGAATCTCATGGGGCAGTAAAGACGACGATGAACTAGGTTGTGGTTTTTTCTCCATTGCGAATAACGATGGGGAATGTCCTGCAATTATCATAATTCTATCACCAATACTGCGCTGATTCTGAACAGCATCAACGAGAGCATTGATGAGTGCTGTGCCGAAATTAGTCGGTATCAAATCGCCTACATCTCTAAAGTATATAATTCTTGGTGTAGGAAGAATTTCCAGAGACATTCCGGTTGTATATGATGGAGTAGCAGAGATCAAAGCCTCAAAAAACTTGTCCATTTTCTCCATAATAACTTTCATCTCTCCTCGTAATACACCATTCGAGTTAGAATTGAAATTAAAAGATTCCCCGAAATTTTTATTTTCATATCCCGAATTGCGATTTGACGTTGAAGCTTCAAAATTTTCTTCTTCATCTACAAATATATCATCTTCAATTTCCTCATCATTTGACAGCGAAGATGTGGTAGAATAAGGTGATGCTGCAATATAGGGATTAAACCCTTTCAGGTCAGGAAATAGAGGCCAGGGTGTCGCTATTTCAATTAAATTTATCGAGATTCAAGGTATTATAAATATTATTGACGTTTTTTTTTGGTGAATATTCAAATCAAGTCAAAAATCATAGTTACTACCTTTCCGTGAAAACATATCAGCAGTTAACTCCATCAGATCCTGCCTATCAAATATCAACAGGTCAGCTTGTAGTTTAGCAGCTACACTTTTCACAATTGCATCCATATAGAATGACGCCCCTTCCAATGGACAATTCAGTAATAAATGACCTCTTCGGGCTGGTATTGTGTCTGTTTTTTGACATGGTAGAAGACTCGCACGCGCACTATATAAAATTTCTCTACGAATCCCATCTTCAATTGGATAACGCATTGATTCAAAAGAATGTTCATTTTTATTGAATGGCAGGTAATTCGTTTTTACAAATGTTTCAGGGATAATTGGCTTATATTGAATAGTAGAAGATTGTTTTGTTATTCGTGGGCGTGCCCTTGATGAATTCGACGCGCGTTTTCGTCTTGGTATCCTCGTCACGAAATCGGATAACTCGGACGTGCTAGTATCCTTCGACGAAACTGACTGCGTTTCTTCAGGAGCTCGAACAGCCTCTGGCTCCTCATTTCCTGGATTAGAATTCGGCAAGTTATCTGTAGTTGAGTTCGAATTTACAGAATTATCGGGCTTCATTGGCGATGCCGAGGTTTTCGGCGGATCGTTGGGTGGTATAGAGAAACATTTTATAGAGGTTGTATGAAAAGACTGGTACCTTATCGGATACCTTGTCGTCTTCCTATATAGATCACTTTCTATTCCGAGAGCTTTTAAAGTACGAAGTGAAAGTCTCGTTAAGTTTTTATGCATTATGCCATTAAAGAAGGTTTTTTATTTCCCCGTCTTTCAATGCTCTTTCAGTCTCTACACACAAAAGTCCAAATTTCGTGAATTCTTATCGTTATGCTCAAATTCGTGCAACTTCTAACCATCTTGTCGATCGAATGACGTAATTACAAATTTATGATTGGCCGATAAAATTTTTTAATTTTCTTCCTCTTTCCGCCTTCACTTTTATTTTGAAAAGATGGTGGTAAGTTATCGTGAGAGTGCAAGAGATTGAAGGTCATCCATCTACGCTTGATCCTCAAAATTATCTCAATATTCACATGGAATTAATTGATTATATATGGCGTGGGATAGTTTTCACGAATCGACTAGATTCAGAGTCACTTTTGCTTGAACGAAATTATTATTGTTATTTTTTCTTTTGGATTTATGCAATTTTGTGAAATTTTTTCCACAGAAAGGTGCTTTCAAGCGTCTCGTCGAAGTTGGCCGAGTTGTTTTCCTAAATTATGGCGATGATACCGGAAAACTCGCCGTCATTGTTGACATAATTGATCATAATCGAGTACGGAAAATTTTTTGATTGTTGAAGTATTTACTACGCATGCTAGAATTAAATATATTCTCTTTAGGCACTTGTCGATGGACCCAGCACTGGAGTTCCTCGTCATTCTCATCCATATCGACGTTTAACACTCACCGATATCGTCATAGAGAAGTTTCCACGAGGTGCTCGATCACCCACCGTAAAAAAATTCTTTGATAACCAAAAAATTCTGGAGAAATGGAATAAAACTTCATGGGCAAAGAAATTGGAGAATCGGAAAAAGAGAGCCTCTTTATCGGATTTCGATAGATTCAAACTGCTTAAATTGAAAAAACAAGTAAACTTGCTTTCTCGATGATTTTTATGGTGGTTAATAGGATTGATGACTAAAATTTTTTTTATTCTTGCTATCTCTAGCGTCGTTTCATTCTTCAAAAAGAGGTTTCCGCATTAAAGGCCAAATCTTAGATCTGATATATCATAAATATTAAACAGACGTCAAACATATTTTTATCATAAAATCTGTCTTTTGCCTATTATTTATTAATCATATGTAAATCCGAGACGATGCAGAAGTTATATCGACGTTATAATATTTGACATGTCTACAAATCATTAATGTTCTATATAGTTGCATGTTAAGTCACTGATTAAATTTTCGATTAAAGTCAAGAAAAAAAAATGATTCTATTTTTGGATCGGACTAAAAACCTTATCTAGAAGTGAATTTAATAAATAATTATTATAGATACAATCAATATAGCAGAATCAGCCTATTTTTTCGGAACCCGTTATATACAGCATTAATATCTCCATATAAGGTACAGATTATAAAGAGGTATAGAGATCAAAAAAAATCTGGTGCTTATCGTTATACATGTATAGAGTTGGCGCTTAAATAAGTGATTATACGTATAGATGTTTGACTGTATAGCTTAAAAACATTTCTTTTTACCTGATATTGTTAATTTCATAAAGTTTTATGCACTTTATTTATCTAACAAAATTATAACAAATAATTTCTTAATTTAGGCTTAAAATATAACTTTTGACACATGTAAAATATGTAGTACGTCACGTAAATATAAAGTACGTCACATCAATAGACACTAAAACTCTCCAAAGTTCTAGTATTAGTAGCGCGCTAAGCCTTTTTAGAATAACGATGAAGTGTAACATTTTTTGCCATTGTTGCTTTCATTTATCCAAAATTAATAAACAATCCCAAAATAATAAATAAGTAATAGCTTTGTCTTCTATAATGAACAATAATAAAGATTATCATAGACAATGTTAAAGTCTATAGAGTCGATTCGTCAACCATCATTTTAGTCAAAACAATGAGAAATGCTAATAACCGAATGATGACGAAATTCACATTCTTCGATAATAATATCGAATTCTAACATGAACGAATTCTCGCATTCGTTAATTGTGATTTATCAGTGCAATCAATCAATTTTTGCGTCGGACACAATCAAAAAGTGCATAAATATCAAGAGCACGAGGTCCATGGCACGTAGAACAAATACTCTTTTTAGCATATTTTCCGTATACAAGCAAGTAATATTAAAAGATACAATACCATCCTACATCTTACATTAACTACGTACATGAGATTTTAAGGAAATAAAGCAAAAAAAAGACCAGCTTTAACACCAGCGGCGTACAAACATAAATACAAGACCATGTAACACGCAGTAAATTGTAATTATCGCTTGAACTACGTTTCCTTTTATAGCACTGCAGAGAGTACAGCCAATAGAATGTATAGCTTTGTATTTCTACCCCCTACTTACTTATTTTTTTTTGATGAAACGCGCCGCCGTTTCAACTTTATATTTTATGGAGTCACAATAATTGCATTATTGTATAGTAGTAGCTTTCTGAAATCGTCTAACGAACTGCGCGTGTTTTTACGTGTTTGTTCGTAACATTTCGCCACTCTTGGGATATATATGTTTTTCCTTAGAGAAAACAACTAGTCTAGAAGAAAAACTCGTAATTTACGCACGTTACAAAGAACACAATAACACTAATTTCATCGTTCTTATAATACATACATATTTAATAATAAATGGCTTCCGTTACTAGCTTGCCACATGTAGTCAAAGTGCAGGATGTCCAAGAGACTCTTGACACCAAGATTGTAGTAGAAACGAACAATAAAGAAATTTCTCTCGTCACAAATGAGTCTGAGCTTAACATAACACTGACAAAAGAAAGTCAAGAGTTTGTGACGTCAAATTCTTCCGAGAATGTTGTGCTTCCCTCGGACCGAGACGACAATTCTCTTCAATTGGAAGAAGCAGTGGATTTTAATAATGAGGCCTCATCAAATGTCGAGTTGTTCGCCACAGAATCTAATGAAATGGATACAGCCAAACTTATTGAACCCGAAGAGACCTCAATCGAATCAAATGTAGTTCCTACTGAGTCGAGTAATCCTAAGGGAGATTTGTTGCATCGAAGACCTTTCGCACCAACTCAATTGAATTTGGAGTTTAAAAAAAAAGATTCTGACACGTCATCAAACGATGTCAATCCAACTAAAAGCCTTCCATCACGCATAGTAAATCAAACAACATCAACTCAACCGTTAATATCACCCAAAATCATTGAATTGCGTCGCTCTGAATCATTCCATCCCACTGCTAATCAAAAGGCCGATGATTCTTCCGCAGCCGCCGTTAATGTCCGAAAAATCGATCCCACATCAACATTAACTCCTAAAAGTAGGCGTTGGGCTTTAGCCCGAGGTGTTATTAAATCTGCGTCAATACTCGGTGCTATACCAAAATTAGAGCAGGTCGATAGAGAATTGTTGGCGAGATTGGAACATGAAAATTCACAATTGCCGCCCCAGGTAAATATTTGCACTAATTTAAATTAATTTATTGAATTTTCATCTGACATTTTATTTAATGTAATTTTACCAGAATTCAGCAGAATTTTTATTAGCTCGACTTGAGAAGCAAAATGAATTGTTGGATAATGATCCGAAATCGGTTTGCATACAATCTAATGTATTAAAAGCAAATCTCGATACAGTTCAATCCTTGATTGATGACATCACGAGTCCAACTACTGATGGATTTAATATCGAGAATCTTAATGAAGAAGACGATAATACTCCTACGACTGATTGGGAATTTTGGACTGCATTGATCCAAGATTATACGGGAGTAGCGGCAAGACTTCCACATTTACTCGCGGCAAAAATACAACAAGGAGTACCGGCTACTCTAAGAGGTTTGATTTGGCAATCAATGTGTCAAGCCTCATCTACCTATTTGGAAACTATGTATTCACAATTATTAGTAGAATCTTCGCCTTATGATAGAATTATTCAACGGGATCTTGCAAGAACTTTTCCTCATATAGAAATGTTTAAAGAAGAAGGTGGCCAAGGCCAAACTATGCTTTGGAATGTATTAAAAGCTTATAGTTTATATGATCCTTTAGTGGGTTATTGTCAAGGATTAGGATTCTTAGTGGGTCCATTGTTGATGAATGTATGTGTTATATATATGTATATATAATGAGTGCATCATTGTTTTACCATTGAATTTCCTATTGATCTTTACATTATTTTCTTTTGGTACAGATGAATGAAGCTCAAGCATTCTCTGTTTTTGTTCGGTAAGTACTTAATTTTGTTTATTCTCTTCCTTACTTATTCTCTCTTCCTTACTAATGCATTTTCATATGCCTATTTAATATTATCATTTTTGTTTCACAATAAAGTTTAATGGAAACATATGACATGCGATCCATGTTTACTCTCAATATGGAAGGACTTCAATTGCGCCTCTACCAATTCTCAAGTCTTCTTTCCCAAATCCTTCCAAAACTGCACTCTCATTTCCAGCTTCATGCTGTTCACGCGGCAATGTTTGCATCTCAATGGTTTCTGTCACTTTTCGCATACACATATCCACTACCTCTAGTACTGCGAATTTATGATGTAGTATTTGCGGAAGGCGCACCAGAAACTATTATGCGCGTTGCGATCGCATTATTGCAAAAGAATGAAGAAAGATTGTTGGAGATGGGAGAGTTTGAGGATTTGTTGGATTTTCTTACCACTCGGCTCTATGAATCTTACGATAACAAACCGACTGGTTTGATCAAAGATGCAATGGGATTGAGTTCGGTAATTACCAAGGTTAAATTGGATGAATTGTCGGGTAGTTATCTTAAGGAATTGGAGGAACAAAAGAAACGTGCCGAAGAATTGGTCGCAGTTCGATTCCAGGGGAGATTCGGCAGAGCAGGCAAAACCCCTGAAAATAATAAAAAGACCTTTGAAAAACCAAATAAACCAAAGAGATGGTCACTTGCTGCTTTTCCTACCTCTCGAAATCCAGATATTACCTCACCATTACCATCATCATCTACCATTACAGTTAATAGCTCATCAACCTCAACTACACCATCAGCTTATAACGAGGTGCTTCCATCAACTTCTACTACCGCTAATCCTGCGACTCCTGCCAGTAATACTGCATTGCCATCTCCACCGTTATCAGCCACTAGTAGTGCAATGCTTCATCAACAGATTGAGGATTTGGTTACTGCATTATCGGAATTACAGAAAGAACACGCGGATATCACTGAACAATTGGTGAATATTAAAATGGAAAAAATGGATTTAGTGACTGAAGTGGAAACTTTAAGAAGCCGAGTTCGAGATTTAGAAAAAGAAAAGAAAAGAATGTCTGTTGCGTCATCTATTGACTCGGCCATCGCATCTAATGATGGAACATCGCCATCAAGAAGAGGATCTGTATCGTCTTCATTGGTTACTTTATCACTTCAGTCAGAAGACACTGATACTACTCCACGTCAATCAACTGAAGTTCATACGAAAAGAGCAACAATTACATCACCAACAACACGTAATGTTGATTCCGTTGATTTTTCAAAACTTCGCAGAGTTTCCGCACCTTCTTTCGCGAATGATTCTCGTATTTTCACCACAAGATCCTCGTCATCGTCTACTTCCAATTCCACTTCTGATACTTCCCCAACCACGGAGATGTCTGAATTTGATGCCATCGATCTGTCATCAGATAATCAAAAACTTGAAATTTCAAATAATGAGAGTGCAATCACCGACGAATTAATTCAAGTTAAAGTGGAGAAGTTTGAGTTGATGCAGGAAAATGACGATTTACAAAAACGCATTGAAGAATTACAATTATCATTACACGAATCATTGGATAGTCAAGAAACACTACAAGAAAAGAATATCTTCTTACGTCAAGAAATTGCAAGACTCGATGAAGAAGCAACCACAGCGGTATATCAACAACACACGATGGAAAAAGATGTTAAAGCATATAAAGAATTGAAAGTGGAAAATGTCAAAATACATAAAGAGAATGAAAATCTTAAAACACAAGTCGAGGCATTAGAAGAAAAAGTTAAACTACTGCAAGATATTAGTGCAGGAAATTTCGCAGATCGCTCTTATAGACGCGTATCTTTCATGGGTCTCTTTGGAGGAGCTGCTGCTGCTGTCACTCCTTCCAGTTCACCAAAACCAGGCTTTGTAGGAGCAAGTGGCGAGTCAAATAGAAACTCATTGATTGACAGTCCAACAAGTGATAGTGATTACGCGTTTGTGTGTAGAGGTGATTGTGAAATGGCTAAAAAAGTAGAAGAAATGGAACTAACTATTAATGAATTTAAATTACGCTTGACTGAGAGTGAAGAAGCTCGAGAATCAATGAGTTCACAATTGGATGGTTTGAGACTGTTGATTAACGGATTCAGTGAAGATACTCCTGAGACACTTCTTCCAATCCCGCCAAAATCACCATTACTGACTCCGATAAGTTCACGAGATAGTCAAAGATTACAAGAAAAACGAGGCTCAAGAAGCTCAATTGTTGCATTTTTCAGTAGTGGATGAACTTAATTTATTTATACAAAACTATTATTTTATTTCTCTTATTTCGACATATTCCGATTATTCGATATCTCCATTCGCAAAAAGCAGATTTTTTATAGGAATATTGCCATCAGTGAACAAATATTGAAGGCAATTGCATTTTCAATCCGACCAATGGCACGCAGCATATTCATCATTCCGTCTCTGTATATAGTCCCAACATTCAAAATAAAGACACCATTAAAATTAATTATCGTACAAGGTTCAACAAACGATACATCATTCTATCAAGAATCAAACTCATTTACATACTTAACATATTCACAAAAAATTCACATTTTTTAATTTTCATAATTTGATTCTACACTTTGACTTGTCTTTATTTTGTATTTATTCGTTAATTTCATTTCCTGTTTGTATTTTTTCTCCTTGATTTTCGCAAATTACCATGTACAATTTATTTTGTTTGTATTTTAGAGTTTGGAGGGTAGTAGTTTAGCACATTTCGAGGTAAATTATATTTGGTGTAGGGATTGGCGGACTAATAATTTTTTGTTTTTTTTTTCTTTTCTGTTAATATAGAATGGTAAAAAGATCAGTGCAAACACGTTTGCACTGAAAAAGAAACGTTACAAAAAAATAATCATATTCACAAAAAGATTTTTTTAGCATTCTTTTTTGATTTTCTTTTTATTTAAATTAATTGCTGTAATACATGAAATAAAAGAATTTAATCTCACTTTTATTATTGAGATTCAATATGAATTGCATACGATTTTATTTTAGAGCATACATTCAAAATTATTTATATATCGATATGCTTACGATATATTCTTAAAAAGAGTATTTCCATTAAAAAGGGAACTTAGGAAACGTCTACAGCAGGTGCGATTGAAGGAGGCACATCACCAGCTAAGGCAGCATCAGTAGCGGGAGCTACTATTGGGGCCTCAGTGACGGTGGAAGGAGTTAGATTGTTAATATTACCATCCACTACCGGAGCCACAGAGGTGGTACTATCAGCATTATTAACAGGAGTTTTAGTTGTATCATTTGCAACTGGAGGAGCGACGTTTGATGGGGTTGCTTGGCTTGTTTGAGGGGTTTTAGCCTGTTGTTGCGGTTGAGATTGCGGTTGAGATTGTGGTTGGGACTGTGGCTGGGACTGTGGCTGGGACTGTGGCTGGGACTGTGGTTGGGATTTTGGTTGAGATTGTGGTTGAGATTGTGGTTTAGCCTGCTGCGACTGAGGATTCGGCTGCTGTTGTTGTTTAGGTTTTGGATTCGGATTCGGATTCGGATTCATGAAACCATTCAATAAACTTCCAACTAGCGGCTGACTATCATTTGTATCACCCGGAATGGGTGGTTTCGAATATTGGTCAACAATTCCATTCAGAGTTGTTGGATCAACATTAAAAGGCGATAGATCGACATCCTTTAACGGACCTGATGGTGGTGGTGGTGCAGCTTCTTTTTCTTTCTTAAATGGAATTGGATTCGAGAAAACATTAACAATAAATAATGTGTATGCTAAGAAAAGAGCAGCTAGTGAGATGCGAATCAGGGAAGTGAAGTACATTTTTTATTTTTTTTTATTCGACTTTTGATAATATGTGAAAATGGAGTGTTGCTGTTACAATATGGTTGTTAATTGCGAATATTTATATTGAAATATTTCTGAGATGATAAAATGAAAAAAATAGCTTTTTCCCATCAAGATCATGATATCAATAAGATAGTAATCTATCTTTTTGAATGCATGAGCTTCACCCAGAAGAAAACTTGGCATTCTGTATATAGAGATTATTTTGAAATTGTTGTCTGATTATTTATCACATGCGAAACAAAAAGGTAAGCTTCAAAGTACATGTATATCTATATTCAAGGAAAAAAAATGAAATTTGACAGATCGGAAATATATATATTTTTGATTAAAAAGTAAATATTCAACATTTCAACAATTTTGATCTAGACAATCAGCGCTAGACTTTTCGATACTTGAAAGTTTTGCTAAATATCATGAAGTACGTACTCTTAGCACAAGATCTTTTGATGGAATGAAAATAGAGACGGGTTTCAACTTTCGAAGAATTCATATCTTTGAGTGGATTTAAAAGATAATATTAATTAAATAAATCTTAACGGTGATGATGTTATTACTGTTTTATTTGAATCTTTTACTTATCATCGTTTAGATTATCGATTGTACATTTATCGTTATTATGTACGTAATTCCTTAAAGGTTTTTTAAATTAATGTTAATTGATCCATTATTAAAGAATTTCCTAAAGATCATTTTTTATAGGACTGAAAAACTAAAGTACTAATATCGTTACTGCGAAAACCTTTTAATGCGTAAAAATTTTTTCGTGGTAATAATAACATATCTTTAAAATATTTCAGTTCGTTGCTAAATATTCCAAAATTCTTTGTTTTTCGCAAAATTTTTGTGCACGTAACAGTTTATTTGTTTCCAAATGGAATAATCTCAGTGAAAGTTCTAATTTTTGAAAAAGCAACCATTAATTACGTCATCTATCAGATCAGTTATAATGTATAGCAAAGTTTCATAAGAAATTTCGATATCACGAAACAATTTCCAAGAGGCTCATATTTCGAGAAATCAGTGGGCTAACGCAATATTTTTATTGAAGAAAAACCATAATTTAATCTCAACTACAACCTGCATTATGTCCTGAGTAGTCTCTATAATAAACCATGTTTACGATAAAGATCCTCTACGTTGTCTGAACTGAAGAGGTCAAAAAAGTGGAATACGAAAAAGAGGACTTGCAGTTCATTTTGAAATTTTACGCAATGAAGAAATTGTTGTTCGTGCATTTCCTTTAAGAGGAGTAACAGGTATTACGTAATTTCTTAAGGGGGGTTTGAAAAATCTTACGCTCATATTAAAAAAAAATTTATATATTAAATAATCTTACCTAAGGGGGGGGGGGGGGGAGAGGTATAATAAATTATATTACGTAATCTCTGTGACTCCCCTAATTGAGCAAACAGGCTCTTAGAGATTGTGGGTTCAAGGTGAGATCTACAACAAGAATTGTGGAGTTTGCTAAGGAGCTTAAAGGCGAAGAGTGAGCCATAACACGTGCTAGCTTTTGTCTTTTATTCTTGTAATTGTGTTAATTTCTTTTTGATCGATTGTGTATCCTAGCACCTTCTTTTGTCTTGCTTACAGAAACAGATTTCTCCAAAGACATATCAATGAAAGATTAATTATCAAATGAAGAAAGTACGACTTTATAATGAGATGGTATGGTTCATTGCTCATTAATTTCATGCGGTCCGAGAACAGCAAGCGCGGTTACCATTTATTCGATACGCCTTATTTAGTAAATGCTCATAATCTTTACAATTTCATGCTCCAGGTATGTCGTCACCATGACAATATAATTTTCCATATATCATGAGTCATTATATTAAGGATCAGTCTAATTGTAACAACTGTTACATGTAACAGCTTAAATATTAACCAATCACATATCCATAATCTTAACCCTAGCGGTTATTACAAATACATGTATTCTTTTATTAATATATATTTTAGTTTGACATCAAAGAGAATAGGTACTCAGAAATATTAAAAAGTAAAATGGTAGGTAAGCTGCTGATTATATATGACTTTTATGTATATTTGATACATTATCTTTTAAGATAGCTCATGACTTACAATCGAAATTAGAAGTCAAAATCGAATAAAGACACGAAAATATAATTATTTATCTAATTATTATGTTATTTTTTTTAATGTGATGCTAGCTGCCGCTGGGGGTTCGATTTGAGGCAAATCAAACCTCGCCGTGAATTTTATTAGACGGATCATTTAATGGTCCTATCAAGTAATAAGACTCGGTTTGGTGCATTTCATATAATTCTGGTGCAAGTTCACATAGCGATGGTACAGTATTTCTTGAAATATTAAAACATTTCCTGCAAGGGAGAGGCTTATTTAGGTAATTAACAACCCAAATAAATGGTTAAACCGCAGATCAAAAAGAAGTTCTAAACGTATTGAATCAACTAGTGGAAGAAATTATAATAATCAAACATAAGAGTTGAAATTTATGTCGAGTTTTATAACTGTTATTTAGTAATTGAAAGTATGTTAATGGTTGTGAGAAATCACGATAATCCATTTTTCAGGGAGAACATTTGCACACGAGATCGGTCCTTAATTCTGAATTTCAAGAATGTACAATTAATGTGGTATTTATTTTAATAACGGGTAATAACTTAAATGGTAACTATAGAGGGGGGATGGGGATTTGGCTTTAGTATAATGGCAGATAGCATGAGGAAGAGTGTGTTTTTCTAGTTCAGGCACACGGTGAATCATTTATAAACTATGAAGTGAATGCATATGGATTGATAATTTTCACATTTATTCATGAATTTGTGATGATGGATAAAGAAGATAAGGAAAATGTGACCCATTGCTCAAGGGCAAGAAAAAAAGGGAAGTTTGGATCAAGTATGGAAAAGATTTTGTATTTTAATTTATAAACATTTATTGAATATCTAACAATTTTTAATTTATTCGATATTCTGACTTCAATGAAAATACAGCAATTATTATTTAACGAAGGTATCATGCAGATTTTATTCCATTTGATTCGAGGAAAATATTTCGTTGACATGGTAACATTGGCGAATTTAAAGGCTTCTAACAAATATATTGTATTCTGCTTTCATATAAGTGAAGCATCTCAATACCGTAAAAGATTCTGATGATTTGTGAAAAGTGGACGGTGGCATAAGGACATCAATGTGGCGTAATTTCAACACAGGAAAATTACCTCTACTAAAAAATAATGCAAATACAACAGATATAACAAAGAGAGATGTAAAGGATGAGTTTCGGACTAGTAACACTGTAATTTTTTAATTTCGTTATTCAAACCAATTAGCGTTAGCGTTAGGCCAATTTATGCAACGATTTTATTTGATAATTTATGCAAGAATTTATTGAATAGTTTTTCCTAGTAGTTTAGGTAATAACTCGTGATTGAAAAATCGAGTGCATCAATATCAGTAACAGTGATTCTGGTAAGGACATATATCTAGAAAATGTGTATTTGCCATTGAAACCACCATCTAATCTTTTTGTTTCTCACATCCTGTATTTTGTTTTTTCATGTAAGTGCTACTCGAAACATAAGGAACAATCTTGTCTATCAACTCAGGTGTCCACGTAATCTAGAAGAGAAATTGATGAATAATCACCTTTAGTTTATCCGAGGACTATAGCTGAGGCTGTATAAGCCAATCCCATGTGTAATATCACGAAAAATATTTGATTTTTTTATTTCTCTAATGTAAATTTCTCATAATGTCAAAACTTTGATCATTGGCTCCAGTAATAGACAATTCAGCGACATAGTATCATTGCTAAATCAAAAAAAATATCCAATCATAGAAATATCGAATATTAATGATCTACTATTGAACGTAAATACCAAAGTTCCGCTCATTAAAAAATACTATTGATTCGGAAAATGAATATTTTAATGTCCATTGTCCATTAAAAAAATAATATTTACTAAAAACTGGCGTATAGTATTTAACCAATAGTAAAATGGGGAATTGATGTAATAGGTTTCACAACTTTGTATGGTTGATGAGTCTAACGTAGTGGAAGAAGATGTATAAATGCCTTGATACGATGCGTTAGTTTTTATAATCTGACGTGAAGGATGATTCTTTCTTTATCATTCGTTGTTCATTCGATTCTTGGGTCGTGTCGAGATTAGCATCAGTGACGACAACATTGATTCTGATGGCGGAAATTAGTGACTTTGGGCGGAATTATGAATTTACGAAGAGAATTTACGATTTACGAGCGGACTGTATCGGTATTTTACTTCTTTTTAAATCCTTTTTATACTTTATAGTTTACTTGTCGCCGACGATCGTGGGATCATCTGATAGTGAATCCATACTGATACCGGCTAACAATTCCCAAATCCTGTTGGGCTAATGCAAATGAAATTACAAGTAATATAGAGGACATTATTATTACTTGCAATCTTTTCAATTTCTTCGGATGTTGAAGCATCTTCTTTGGATGGTATAAAATTTTCAGTGAGCTCAGTAATTGTATCATTTTTGATCAATTTCTTTGACGAAATTGGTTCCGATTCAACAGTCACAATTTTTTTGCCGTCGTCATCAGACACAGATCTGCCTCGTTGTCCTCCGATTGAATTTTGGGCATGGAAACCGGTAATCGTTCTTCGAATCTTTTTTATTGTCTCAATAAATAGATCGTAAAGTTGTCGACTATGTCTTATTAAACATGGCATTAATTTATCAAGTTTATAATAAGAGAATGTTTCCCAAGTAGCTCCCCAGACAAAAAAAAACTTTAATCGCGAAAAGCACGACTACACGCGCAACTTTTACATAAGAGTAAGGTTCTGTGAGCTTATTTGATGGACCGAAATGCCAGGAATCATTGAAATTTAATTTTTTCGCTTCTTGCACGAAAATGTAAATTGTCAATGGACAAATGGCCATAAGATAGACGAGGTTGAGAAAGACTACGCGATAAAAAGAAAACGAACGAGTCGGAGAAGTAGCGAATCGCGAGGTGCTTTGGTGGCTTTGGTATATATAAATTAATACTCGAACTGCATAAAATTAATTAATAAATGAAGCATCTAAAATTGATACTTGTGCAGTATAAATTATCGAAGCACTACATACTTACTTTCGTAATATGCGCTGATAAAACCAATAATTGATGGTAATAATAACTTTGCTGGAATAAACATCCAAGTATATTGTTGCATGGGAATACATCCTTCATATGGATGAATTGTGTAAACTTTCGCTGCGTTCACAATCATCAATGCACCCATTATCAGTGGAAAAATGATCGAAATCAACGTGTCAACATAAATACGTCTACGTTTTCTCGCGTTACTAATAAGCCCTAATGTAGAGATAGAGCTCCATAATCGTTTTGCGACGCATGCATTCGCCGATAAGATTCCGATATACACTATATCCATAAGGCGCGCAATTAACACACAATAGCCGTACAAGTAATAAACGCCATCATTCTCTACAGAATAATTCTTGAATAGAAATAGATTCAGAAAATAGACCAAAGATGACGCTGCAATCCAAAATATTAAGTAAAAAACCGAAAATAATCGGTGGTTTGCTTCTCGTAATAATACAGGAACCGCTGTTATGCTAAGTAACATTGTGACCGCGTGGAGTATGCTATCGATGGTGTAGTACATTTAACATATAGTACATTTAACATAAATGTATGCGTGTTCGTTTCCCTTTTTGATTTTTTTAAAAAAACAAAAGTTTCTTTTTATTATTATTGGAGTTTGTAAAGGAAAAAGAAAGAAAGACATAAGAAGCGAGAAATAGAGGACGGAGAGGGCGAATAAAGGGAAAAGGAATGACACTAAATAATGGATTTTGCAATTGCATATCGATATACTATTGAGGTGTTACACCCATTACAATACATTTGTATAGGCGTACGTATTATTTTATAATTTGTATTTTGGTATTTAACAATTTTGCATATTTAAATTACGGAATATTATTGTGACGCATGATGTCATGACACAATCACCATTTTTAATAACAAATTGAAAATTAAGGGTTAGGGTTAATTAAAACCCTTTAAATTAAATCAACAACATATAGAATTCGTCGATACAACAATAGGCGTTTCGTTTTAGAGAAACTTTAAACAGAAAAAAATCTATATGCACTATATCGATATAGTTAAACTGGGAAATAATTTTATTTTTGGAATACGACGTTATTATTATAACTTAATATCGACATATGAATTTCTTCTATTTTGTGAACTAGAAAAAAATCATCAATTGATTATACGAAAAGTTTCAGTGGTCGACAAAAGTATCCGGAATTTTTTGATGTATAATATAATAAATACTTGCTAAATTTATATGTGTGTTTTTTATAATACAGAGAAAGCTTTATAAATTTTCTAACTAAATATATTGTTTTAATTTCCAATTTTAATTGCAAAAAATCAAGGAAAATTATTGATTACAAAAAATTTTATTATTTTTAGTTTCTTAAAATAGTTATAAGTCAATTTATTAAAAATAGTTTAAAGCGTTACTATTTAAAATTTCATTGAAATTCATGAAATTTGACTGAATATCATAACAAACATTTTTTTTTGATTTTCATGATTTTAAACAATTTCAGTCAAATTTCCACAGATTTTAATAAAATTTTAAGCAACAACTATTTAAGAAAATATTAGAAAATTAATCAAAAATTGGAAATTTATTCAAAAATATAGTAGTTTACAAAAGTAATGCACCACTTTCAAACGTTACTAATAAAAATGGGTTTTTCTCTTTATATAAGCTTTCAATATTACTAATCAGTATTTTTTATTTTTTATACAAAAATACAAACAATAATCCATATTTATCTGAGAAAGTTTTTCTAATTGCAAAGTAAGTTGATTACTTTTTATAATTAAAACATATAAAAATTAATTAATTTATTTTGCAATTAGAAAAAATTTTCAAATTAAATCTAAAAAATCTAAAATATGGATGATTATTTATATTTTTGAATGGTACTGGAAATCGTAATTCAACAATATAGTGAATTATTTTTAACATCTTTAATACTTTATAAAAAATTAATTCAGTAATTTTATTTTTTATTAAACTACTGGTCAAATTTTCAAAAAAAGTTATAGATATTTAAACTTGGTTATTTTTTATATGATCAGTTCAAATTTAAAAGTTTATTGGTTGATATTTATTATAATTCAGACTGGTATTATGTTAATGCTAAATTACTATAGTATCAACTTGAATTATTATAATAAAACTGTTTTGCATTATTACACGTGATTAAAATATTAATTTATTGATAATTACATAAAATGTGGCCACCAGAAAATTAAAACAGAATCACGTAATTGTCGAGTTATAATTTCTGGCACCATATAAAAATAGAAATATTAATTAGTAATAATTGAAAACTTTTATATAGAAAAAAACTATATAAAGAAAAATTCGCATTCTATTATATTTTATTAAAAAATTTTAACACAATTGATTGTTACTGTATATAAAATTATAAAATTTAACAAGTATTTATTATATTATAATTAAAAAAATTTTTGGTTACTTTGTTAATTGTTATATATTCAATGCAAAGTATACTTATTAAAGTAAAAAATAATTAAATAAATATAAAACCTAGAATCTATTGATAATTATAAAATATTGTGTATTTTTGACTAAATAGTTTCAAAAAAAATTAAATTTAACTAATACAAGCAAAAATAATCGGTAATTTTTAATTTTAATTTTGTTTTGAAAATTTATACTAGTTAATAATATTTAACGTCTAAATGAAAGTTATTTTTCATATTCCAAACTTAAAATTTATATTACATTATATTAATAAAAATTGCTCATATTAACACGTTTTTAAGTAAAAAATAGAACAATTTTTTGTTAGTAAATTTATCTTAAATTTCAAACTTTAAAATATTTAATCTTTTAAAATTATTTGTAACAAAAAATTCTAAAGCTGCAAGTTAAAAGGTTTGTTTGTTCAAGTATATATTAGAAAGATTTTTAGTAATACATAATCTTTTATTATTAAATTATTGCTAATAATAGCATTGAAATTTGAAATTTGTAAATAAGCTCAGAAATTTGTAAATAAGATCAAAATTTGTCAATAGTTTTTATTTATATTATTTAAATTTAATTTTTTCAGAAACTGTCTAATCAAGTGAAACAGAGTTTTGTATAATTAACAACTCATAAGTCATGTATTTATTTGATTATTTTTTATTTTAATAATGATAACCATATAAAAGAATCGCAGGGAACTGCCTCAAAAATATTATGGAGTAAGAATTGCTTCGGAATTGGCGCAATTTCAGGAACTGATTCAGAAAATTCCAATAGTTTTGGAACTGGTTCCAGCAAGTTATGAGCAGTTCTTGAAATTCCTAAGCCGTTCCAAGAAATTCCGTAGGGTCGACAATTTTTTTCATAGAGGCAAAATTCCCGTTCTTGACACCTTTCATGATCGGCAATAATGTTTAATTTTGACCCGTGCTTGATTTGCAATAATTTAATATTAAAAACCCGTTCAGATCACATGATAATTTGGATGATGCAAGTTATTTGGCAAACAAAATTAACTTTTATAGTAAAATTTCGCAAGGAACATTTTTTGTTAGAATACAAAAAATACAAAAGCTTTTTTTTTCAAATAAGCATTTGTTTTGTTACACGTTGATCTTGCGATTTACGTAATTGGCTATCAAGAATAGGTTTTTTAAATTTTAAAATTATTGCAGATTATGGTGAGGTTTTAAAAATCATTGCCGATCAGGGGTGAATCAAGAACGGGAATTTTGCTGCATTGAGATATACGTAGTGCATGATCAAAACTTTTCAGCCGCAAGAAAACTCTAACCTATCGGTGACATATAACATGCGTTCCTCGAACAATTGATGTGCTGAGGAAACAAAGTTGATGGCATTAGATCTATCAACCCTTTTTTTCAATGGGCTTTAATTCTTCACTTCTGTTCTACAGACGTAAAAGGGTTGAATTAAGAATTAATAATGAACAGTCATATTTATTGATTCACGAGTTTATTTCTCACAGGAACAATAAAAAAATTATTTCTGTGCTTTTCGTACGTTGCAAAATTTTATAGCTCATTGTCTTCAAATTGATATAAAAAAGATAATGCTTCGAATAATGGCAAAATATTAAAGAAGTTTAACAAGAACATTGCATTTTCAAAAGAAATTAGAAAAACTTACATTCTCTGCCCAACAATAGATTCACAGGTCTTCGCGTGTAACTTTTTGAGCGAATATCACACTCTTTTCATTTTCACTAAGTATATAGATAGTGGTTTGCTTTTTTTCGAAAAAATTACGATGTAAAATAATCGATTTGTGGGGAGGTGTGAGGGAGGGGTTGTTTTGAAATCTGGTACGCATATTTCCTATAATAATTCTTTTTGTTATCATAAATTGGCATACACCTTTTTCGTAATTATGCATTGATTTATTAATAATAAAATGGACATTTATTTTGTGCGATGAATAAAACCTTTGTCACTTTTGCTTTGATTCTAGAATGCATTATCTTAATATCATACCGTCAGGACCAATACTACAGTATGCATTTAGAGGAAATATACAATAAACATATAAGTTACATTATAAATCTATTATAAAAGATCAAGTCAAAAAACATGCATATAAAGGAGTTATGCATTTAGAGGAGTGTGACCGTAGTTCATTTTTCCATTTTTAATTAGTTATTCAATTAATCACCGCGTTTATACAATAAAGAAGCCTTCACTTACGAGAATAGACGTATTATTTGGTTACTAAAACTGTCTTTTAAGTAATGGAATAACGAGCAAAAAATCCGATTCGGTTCTTTATCGTTATTTATTTTTAAGGGACACATTATTCCGTTATGACAATTTAATCATTTTTACAGTTCATTTCACGCGTGTACTAATAAAAATGACTCTTTCTTTTTCTGCACGCCCGATGGTAATAATTTTGAATTAACGGAAGAAACAACGTAATCATTACAATTACAAGACCAAATTTGTTAGTTTATAAATGTGCTGTAAATGCTATTATATATGCACATGCGCATGCGCATGCACAATACGTAATAATGGTTTTAATGGTAGATTACGATTATCCCTATTTTTCTGCGACTTAAAAAAAAAGAAAATTTTTGAAGGAATAAAGCCCGGGGGATAGACCATACAATTATTATTGGATAGGGATATTATGCCCGGGGGATATTATGCAGGAGAATAATAATCGCTTTATTTTTTTTTACTTACAAATCTCTTCTAATATACATATGCATAGTATCTGGATTTTTTTTTACAACGAAATTACCAAAAAAAGGAGAATGAGAGTAGACGAAAATCTTGTATTTTTGGCTAAAAAATTCATGGAGAATTATGCAATGCGCAATTATTTTGCCGAACATTTCCATAAAAAACGGATCGTGAATAATTATTATAAGTATGCTCTTAAAGAGGTTCGATTTGTAGCGAATCAAATAATAACGAAATCAAAACCATAACGAATTGGTTTTATATAAGGGCGAAAAAGAACAGCAACAGGAAGCGAAATGTGGAGAACTTGCCGACCGAAGAGATAGAAGACACTGACGAATGAGATAAATTCTAATTTTTTTTAATCGTTGCTAGCAATCATGTTTCAAATAATTTTCCATCTTCTTTTGTCCATATATTTTTCGAAAAAACGTAAAATTCGACATTGGGATTATAGATTGTTATAATGGTCGTTTCTTGTATTTTAATATTTGTCGATACGCTTATATTTGTCCCGCCGAGATTTCTTCTGGACAATAATACCGATAGTTCCACGTACTTCTCTTTTTCTTCTGGAGATATTTTTTGCCACATGCTTGAAGCCAGTTTGGATACTTGAGAGGCCGTTGTTGGTCGTCCGCCCCTTTTTAGGGCATTAACAACGTTTGTGCGGAAAAGAAAAAACTCGTTGCATTTCCCTCTTATGTCTCGAAAATCGTTTAAAGAGGGTTCGTTTATGTACTCACGAATAATTTGTTCATCGGAAAGGCCACTTTCTTCCGGAACAAAAGTGAAGTTCATACTTAAATTCGGATATTTCGGTTGAGGCAGATATAATTCTCACTCGACCGAATTTTTTTTACAAGCAGAGAACGTTCTTTATATAACAATTGTGCATATTATATTTATAAAGCGAATATCCAATAAAGTTGTTTGTGTGCATTTTCATTAACAAAAAGAAATGGAAGTTCAAGACTCATTTTTTACTGTTTACCAAATGGAGAAGAAATGTTTGTCGAATAGTTTCAAGCTAATGAGAAATGATATATTTTTAACATAAACTATGAAATATAAATGCTCAATAATTATCGTTTCTTTTCCAAATTTTATCATTCGTTGTTATGTAAAAAAAGCCTTACACGTCTATATTCGTATATATCGTTCCTTTTACGCACGCCAACGCAAGTATACATTCACTCAATATAAGAAATGGAATTACCAAACAACTCGAGCCTTTACATGTTCAATATTTAATACATATTCAATATATAATATATAAATAATGTATTAGTTATATAGTACGTATAACGATAATGATATCGATATGTAAACATTTGATCTACCGCTACGTATTTAATGGTATGCGAAGTCTTTAATGTCACATAAATTCGGATAGGATGATCTAAATTCGCTTTCTCTCGACATACCTCAAATGCTAATGACATTATAATTATTCACGTACAAATGAGATTGAACGAATCTGAGACACATGATCTTTAATACAAAAGACAAATGGATGAAAAGAACAATATCAGCAAACAATAACAATTCGATTAGCGTATATTCATTATTTAGACACCTTTTCGATATCAAATAAATGATTAGTCAATGAAAAATCCAATTTTCTTTCATTTCATTCCGAATCTTTGAGTTTGAAAGCAATTCAGAATATTCATAAAGAAACCAAAAAACTCGTTCCAGAAGATAACGAAAATTTACCATAAATATTTTAAGGCACCCCTTTTTTTGTATGTCTATCTACGTCATTTAAATCTAATGTCAACTTATGTACAATATTCAATATTCACTTTTAGAATCAACGCCTCAGAACTTTATAGAGACATAACGATAAATGATAAGTCTAATTCGAAGATCCAAGCATAGATTTTCGGATCTATTATTCGGTTCAAAAATAATCATTGTACATGTAGTAAGCTTATGCAGGAAAACGTAATCAGGAATACTATACTATAAGATAACAATTTCGCGCCAAAAAAATCCTTAATATATTCATTGTTAATGGTTTTTGACTAATACGTAAGTTAACAATTTCGCGCCAAAAGTTATTACTAAAAGTGTACATTGTTCACGGGTGCAACTTCAAGCATCCATTTGGTTTACGTATGTACAATGATCTGCATATTGCCTATTAGCCCATATGCGGTATCGGTATGTATTATTAAGCTATTATTGGAGTTTGTAGAAAGGGCGGATAAAGGAAAAGGCATATTATCATATTGTAATTGCTCGATATGTATTTTGGTATTAATTAGAAATTTGTTGCAACAGAAAAATACTGGTAAAAATAATTTATCTATTTTTTATCTAACAACAACGACGGCAATTGTTTCTTGCATAAAAAATTGCAATCTATATGTATGTACTATTATTATATCTTTGTTTGTTCTCCTTCCCCCAATGATTTGTAATATCTCAAAAAGTATTCCGAGGCAGGTCAAATTCTTTTTTTTTCGATTCCATTATATGAGTTTCGAGACTAAACATATAACCCCGAGTCGATCATTACAAAAATTTCAACCTTCCCGAACGGTGCAAAATTTTATAGCTCAACAAGTTACTCTTGTGTCATTTTCAAATTGAAACAAAAAGGCAATACTTGAATAATGGCAGAATTTTAAGACGATAAGTCAAATTAGAAAAATATACCGATATGATTGATTGGTGATAATTGATCCAAAATAGGAAATCGTCACATCTCTCAACGATAAAATTCACGGATCTTCATGTACGTGTAACTTTGCTTTGCCTGGTTGACAAAATTTGTGTTTTTATCTTCATACCCAGCATATTATGTTTAATTCTCCAGCTAAATGAAGGATGATTAGGAAATTACTATTATGCGATGAGTTGAGCGAGTATTATGCTCTTATGCATACTACGTACAGTGATTTATTTTGTGTGATAAATACATGCATACAGGATCATTGTAAATAAACTCCTTCACTTTGATTCCAAAAATGCATTATCTTGACATCATAATAAAAGCCAAATAGTTCATTCCTCCATTATTTTATTAGTCATTTAATTAATCACCACGTTTAGACAATAAAAGACTTTCATACACGAGAATAGTTGTATTCTGTGTGGCTTCCAAAGTTGTCTTTCAAGTAATGGAATAATGAGCAAAAAACTCGGTTCGATTCTTTATCCTTATTTAATATTTAATTGCGAAATGGGTTTTAAGAAATAATGTTGACGTTCCGTTATTACAAATTAATTATTTTTTCACAGGTTCATTTTTTTACAATACATTTCACGCGCGTAGTAATCTAAATGATTTTCCGGTGTACGCATGCATAATGCTTTTTTTTGAAATAAGGGTAGAGACATTAGTCAGGTGATTTTTTGGGGGGAGTGGTTGTAGATCAAAATAAGGTGATTAAAAAATTTTTAGCCAATCAAAAAAAGCAGGTGGGAAGGAGGGGGTAAGCTTCCTATTAACCGGAAATCACCTGATTAATGTCTCTACCCTAAAAGTACTGATAAATTTATCGATTAAGCATAAAATTTGTTAATTTTTAACCTCATAATAGAATGAGAGTATTAGACGAAAAATATTGTATCATCGGCTTAAATTAACTTTTTGTTGAGGTTTAATCCTTGCATACAAAAGTAGAGTATTAATCATACTTTTGGTTATTTGATTATATTTGAAGGGTAGGTTTCGATTTTCACATTAAGTGCAGATTGGGAAATGGTTCTTATAAAATAAGTTATCACCGTTACCGTTTATATGACCGAAAATAATAAATCTTTTTTTGGGGTTCATCTAGCAATCCAAATGAGGGTTTTTTATTTTTCGAGACTTTTAAGTTTGGGGCACAAATGCCTTATCCAATCATATAATACAAAGTTTAATTTTTAATAAAACATTTTAATTCATCTTATTCAATTTTTTACTACTTTTCTCCGAAGGGGAGGGTTCTTATTTTAGGTTATATACAGTATATACTTATTTTATATAATTTGTTGGTGTTCTTAGAGATGTTTGACTGGATCATAGAACGAATAACGAATTGGTTTGTGAAAAACAACAGCAACAAGAGTAATGGATCGAAAAAACTCCGACGAATTCAAAGTTCAAATAATACGGCATCTTCGTCTCTCCAGATGTTTCTTGAATATCCGTAAAACTCGGTGTTCGGATTATCAATGGAGGTCATATTAGGTGCTTCGTGTACTGTGATGGGTGCGTTTTGATTTGTCCATTCGATATTTTCCCTGGACAATGTCACTGATAGGTTTTCGTACCTTCTCTTTTCTCTAGAATTCATTCTTTCCCACATGGTTGAAGCCAGTTGCGAAATCTGACGCGCATTTCTAACTCTACCACCTTTCTTTAGAGCATTACTGACACTTATGCGGAAAAGTATAAATCCATTGCATCTGCGCTTTAAATATCGAAAATATTTTAGAGAAGGTCTATCAATGTATCTACGAACAATTTGGACGTCAGACAGTTGGCAAGTGGAATCTTCTGGCGGAACGAAAGTGATGATCATTTTTTTTCGAAAATCGAATTTATTCGTGTTTTGAAGCACGAAGAATTTTTTCAGAGCAGAAAACGTTCTTTATATAATAATTTTTACTTGAACTACACATTATATCTGCAAAGCGAATTTACAAAAATATCCAGTAAAGTTGGTTGTGTGTGTGTGTATTTTTTTTAACGAAAAGAAGACTATCTTTTTACTGTTTACCAAATGGAGAAGAGATGTTTGTCGAATAAATGCTTCTCCACTTCAATAATTGTAATAAGCTCTACACGTCTATATTTGTATATACCACTTCCTTTACGCCTACGCAAGCATAAACTTACTCAATATACAGTGTACAATATAGAATATACATTATAATTTGCGTGATGTTTTGTACGTTTAAAAATCGGTCAGAACGCGAACTTAGCAGATTAACAACTCGAGCCTTTACGTATTCAGTATATAAAATCATGCTCAATATATAATATGTATATATATAATTACATTACAGTCTACCTCTATAAATTGGAATCGATTCTCAACCCAAAATCGATTAATAATTTCGATTAATTGTTTCAAGTACTCGAATGTTGGTTAATTTATTTTCAAATATAGATGATTACGATAACGACGATGATAATGCATGAGAAATATTATTTATATTTTAAAAACGCTTTTGGATGATTTTATTACACAATTTATGCGCTAATAAACGTTTTTGAAGAACAATCGATTTCCTAGTCTCAAATCGATTTCAGAATCGACTACCCCCTTCTATGTATTTATCGGAACTCGGTGATGGGATTGAAGTGTGCTTACGTAAGTGGTTTTATTATATGGGATTCATTGAGTCTCGTCTTATAGTATGCAATTCTAGCATGCATAGTTATATGTGAATATTGATTTATGTTGTATGCAAAGTCTTCAATCAGTTCGATTTAACGTTGTCACATAAATTCGGATAGCTTTTTCTGATCTAAGTTAACTTTCTCCCGAGAATTTTGTAATGATATTTCAAATTATAATTATGCACGTTAAATGAAATCGTACGAATCTGAGTCATATGACCTTTGATAGAAAAAAGACAAAGAAATCAGCAAAACAATAACGATTTAGATATCTTTTCGATATCGAATGAATGATTAAAATAATTATTGCATCTTTTGACCATCAAATAATTCGCATAATCTATGTGACTGATTAGGATATTAATAAATGAAAACTTCATTTCATTCCGAACCTTTGAATTTAAAAACAATTCCGAATATTCATGAAGAAACCAAAAAACTCGATCCAGAAGAAAGATAACGAAATTTACCATAAATATTTTAAGACACCCCTTCTTTTTTTATATGTTATTTACGTCATTTAAACTTATGTACAATATTCAATATTCACTTTTAGAATTAACGCCTCAGACTGTACAGGGACATAAATGACAAAGTATCCCAGCATAGCGATAGATTTTCAGATCAGGGGTGTAAGTAAGCTTATCGTTATGCAGGAAAACGTAATCAGGAATATTATACCTAATAACGATAACGATAAAAAGCCATTTATCATGTTTGCAAATCAGATTTCAGTGATCATCTTGATAGCCCTATTGGCCCCTAAAAGGAAATGGAAATCAAATACATAACGATAACAAAAATTAATGTGACAAAAAAGATCGTTTCGAACTTTTGCTTAGAATTTTAATAAAGAGCCGGGGTTTCAAAGTAAATGCACAGTGAAACTCGATAAATTGGAATTAGAGCTAAAATTCTAAAATCCGGTTATTGAGTGAAATTATTATCGTTATATATAGACTGCTCTGCCCCTCAATCCGGTTTATCATAATTTTAATTAGTCCTCGGTTTATCGAGATTCCGGATACCGAGGTTCACTGTGCATAACCAAATAACATGTGCCACAAATATTGCGTCATTTTTGCTAGAGGGAATGTCCAAAGTAGCAGAGGACTAAGAGAGTTTGTGCATATATAGCGGTAGTATAAACCTCAATCGAGATTTATCGTAAGGGGCTTAACGTTAATACAGTATGCTTGCTTACGTATTTGTTTGTTCTATTAATTATTATATGCACCCAAAAAAAGTAAAAGTTTAAGACCTACTCATAGATAAATTGCTATTTTTTGTGATTTTCTCTATGCGCAGATATAGTTACTAACTGCTTGAAAAAAACGGTCTTTCATACAAAATAATCCGCAAAAATTTTTTGTTCTTTTCAAAGAATTAAAATATACGTTATTTTCGCCCACAAAATGCAAACATTTATCTGCAAATTAAACCCCGGATAATTGAATTATTATCCTAATAAATTTAAGAAGTAATTATGTCAAAGAATTTTACTGTGCTTTGAATTTCTTTTTTAATTGTTCAACAGAAACGTATTATCATTAGTTGATTTAATTTTAAATAAATAATACAATATACCTTTTAATTTTTTGTATAAGTCATTTTTTTATTTTTCGCAGCCAAAGGCCGAGATGAATTTTAATAACATTGTTAAAAATATTTTATAGATCAATAGATTATGTATGAAACGCTGGTCGTGATGAATAGAAGAAGCTTTTTGGTTGTATAAACTAGCAACTGTTCATAAAATCTATAAGGAATTGTTTTAAATCGAAATAACAATGTAAGTTAGGTAAGAAGAGGAATAATATGTTCTATGTAGGAAATTTATAGAGTTGTTGCGTAAATAACAAAATAAAAATGGGTAGGTAGGTCAGTTGATAGATTACTTATTACCCCAAAAATTTCGATAGGCGACATTAATTTTCTCTTTTTAATCGATATGTATGTATCCATCTAAAATTGTTTGTTTTCTTTTAAATTAACAAAATAGAAGTCGTAGCGCCTTTCTTCTGAGAAGGTGTTTGTTACATATCTTTATTTATCTTTTAAAAATAAAAAGGTAATTCGGATTTCAAAACAAAAGCCTTCTTTTCAAATCAAATGACATCCCGAGGCGTGAATTTAAATTGAAATCAAAGTATTTGGCAAACGCATAAACATTCCTAATAGAACAAATACTCGCGTCTTTAATTACGTGCGTTTATGATGTAATGAATTAACGCGTGACGTACATAGAATTTACCTTTTAAACCAAGATAAAAGTGAAATGATTAAATATTGTTATTATTATTACGAAAGAAGTCAATAAGCGATCAAAATATTTCTTCAAAATATAACGTTCTTTATTGAAAGTTCAGCATTTTATTCACCTTATTTAGTTAATTAAATTATTAAAATTTATTTTTCAACAATAAAGTACTCTATTTTTGTGTATTACTTTTAATACTTTTAATCCATATAACGGCAAAAAAAAAACAACGAACAACCGGAGGGAGTTTTAAAAGTATAAATACCCAAGATCTGTAAAGCAAAAAAACGATGTGCGACTATGTCTGATTTAAAGATCATTTTTGAGTTTAATCAACCTAAAAAAAAGAATGTTGCTGCTGAAGAACCCAAAAATTTGAACGTTGAGTGGCCGCCTCATTTCGATTTCGAAACATTATTCAGAAACCCAAAAAGAAAAAAAAGTTCCCCAAATGCATTCATACTTTTTCGTATAAAATATTTGGAGAGTCTTCAACAAGTCGGCGTTAATTGGCCAATGCCTATTGTAAGTCGCATGGCTGCAGCAGCTTGGAAACGACAAACAGATGATGTTAAAACCAAATATGAATCTTTAGCATGTGATGCGAATCTTCATTGGGCCAAATGGAATCCAAAACCAAGTCGGGGATCTAATGTTAAAAAACCAGGCGGCCAAAGACGAAGATCTCAACAGCAAACAGTAAACACAGTGCTAAATTATCCCGTTAGTTATTCATCACCAGCATATTTTGTTGAAGTCGATACATCCAACTCACAAATATTCGGAGCTGAGATGAACTCCGAATAACGCACCATTTTATGATGATAAGAACAAATTAAGATATATATATAATATATAATATATATAATAACAACAATAATAAATAATAATAAGAATCAGAGGTTTGACTATAAATAAGTCTTTAAGGTAAATTTATTCGCAAAATAGCTTAATTTGTGAATACATGTAATAAAATAAAATTGAGTTGTTTATTATCGTTATGATTTAATAAAGATGGCTAAATTAAATTACGACTGCATATTTAATATATGTTAATATAATTAATAAACACATAATCAATAAAGAAGGTTTAAATGTTTCGAGTTCGTCATAATTTCATAAAACGGTTCAATTAACGAGAAATGCCTAAAGATCAACGCTGAGAAGCAGTCTATATTTGGAATTTATCGAATGAACGTTTTTAAAGAAACTAATTATATAAATAATACTTACACACAGACTTTAAGCTTTGATTCATATTTATTTAAGCTTGAAGTTTTGAACATAAATTCGATATGATTTTAATATATTTAGACTTTAGCACATATTTAGCCTCTTAGTATCTAATTTTTTGACATAATTCAGGCTCTTGAATCCAGAGGCTGAAAGCTAAAAGTCGAAAGTTCAAAATGAACCACTTTAGCATTAATATAACGACAACAATAAATTTACATGTAATACAAAGTCCCTTTTTAGACTCGTTTTCGGTAATAGTTATGGTAACACGAATTACAAAATCCAAATTTGTATTCATTGTTAAAACCTAAAAAATGATCGTAAATATAAAATAACGATAACACAATGGAACGAGACCCACAAAAATTTTTTAATAGAAGAACAATACCGAACAATACTTGAACGTAAAAATTCTTTGTGTAGCAAACTACACCGTAAAGCGCTCTGTATAGCATCCCCCTCTTGTAAATTTTGCGAAAATTTAGTTGATGGTTTAATAGCCTTGAGGTTAAATTGAGTTTAAATTTTTTAAATTTTCTACGAAGGGGATATTATACAGAGCGCTTTACGGTAGTTAAAACTGAGGAATCAAAATTTGATAGAATTTGAGCTTAATGAACCTAAAAAAGCGAATGTTGCTGCCGAAGAACCAAAAATTTGAGCATTGAATGGTCACCTAATCTCGATTTCAAAATATTATTCAAAATACAATACGAAAAGAAAGGGCCCAAATGCATTCATACTTTTGTAATCAATCAATTAAATATAATAAACAAATTGACGAGTATGTTTCGAATTCATCATAACTCCACAATCGGTTCAATTAACGAGAAATGCCTAAACAATTTGTCGAGAAACAGTCTATATTTTTTATTTTGAGTATATTTCGGAATTTATCGAATGTAAATTTTTAAGAAACTACAGTCAACTCTCTAAATGCACACCGCCGGGAGATATATGAAAATCAAACCTGAGTGCATTTAAAGAGTCTGTGCATTTATAGAGAGAATTTTACTTAATTTTTCACATAATCTGGAGCTTTTTGAAGTTGAATGTTAAAAATTAATCATTAATATAAAGATCGCGATAAGGAAAATTAATATACGTACAATATAAAGTCCCTTTTTAGGGGACCCATTTAACAATCGATATACCGACGTGCAGAGCCTATTGTAAACAATATCAATTCCATTTTTGTAAATGAGTGTCTAAATTTGTAATTGTGTACTATTGAGACCCACGAAATTTTCAAAGGTTAGAGAGTAGCACGCGAAGCTGAAAAAAGATGATAAAAATGAGAAGCTAAAATTGGACAGAATTTGTGCAAAAAATGAAAAAGATGCAGTTATTCTATAAAAGGTTGGCGAGTAACACGGAGCTGAAAAAGATGATAAAATGGAGAAGCTAAAAATTGGACAGAATTTGTGCAAAAAATGAAAAAGATGCAGTTATTCTATATTTTTGAGCTTAATGAACCTAAAAAAGCGAATGTTGCTGCCGAAGAACCCAAAAATTTGAGCATTGAATGGCCACCTAATTTTGATTTCGAAACATTGTTCAGAAATACAAGAAGAAAAGAGAGGGCCCCAAATGCATTCATACTTTTTCGTATAAAATATTTGGAAAGTCTTCAACAAGTCGGCGTTAATTGGCCAATGCCTATTGTAAGTCGCATGGCTTCTGCAGCTTGGAAACGTCAACCAGATGATGTTAAAACAAAATATGAATCGTTATCATTTGCTGCAAGTCTTCATTGGTCCAAATGGAATCCAAAGCCAAATCAAAGATCCGTTAAAAAACCAGGCGGCCAGAGACGAAGATCTCAACAGCCAATAATAACAGCATATGATGCTAACTTAAATGCACCATCAAACGACTCTGGTCCTATGTCTATAAAATTCATTTGTTTGCCAGTAAATATCTTTTATAACGAAATATTGATTTGTAAATTTCAATTTGAAAAATTATTAATTTTTTTTCTTTATTAGTCTGATCTGATTAATTAAATCGATGCTGAGTAAACTAATGTGTTAATAAAAAATTTTTTGCACCATAATAAGCTGGCAATATCAATCTAAACACTACGTAAAATTACAGTTAAAATTTAAAATGGAGAACTAAGATTTATAAGATTTTTTCACTTTATTATGCAGTTTATTATCAGAGCCAACATGTAAGTAAGTAAGTATGTTCTTCTACCTGATAACTAAATTTACGACTTTTAATGGTAGCTAATGTAGCTTTGATAGAGATAGGTGAACTACTTTTAATTTCAATTGAGGATCAAACAATGTACCGAAAGTTCAGAAGTAAACTGTACGCCAAGTTATTAGACAATAGTTTATTATTGGCTTTTGGATAACTCCAAAAAATAAAAAATCTAAAAAACCTGTTTATTGGTGAGACTGTCTTGAACCAAAATTTCTTACTTAACAAGTTAAACAAGGACGCAAGCTAACGGATTGGGACTCGTATAACACAGGAGCAAACCGGGTCATTTTGCAAATTTAGAAATTTATACAACAGTGATCGAAACTTAATTCAGGAAAAGGGCGGGAAAATTAACAATGTTAGTTAAAAAAGTGTGATTCTTTTTTTTTGGTGCTGATTGTGAATGTTGAAAGGACAATAGAAAGAACAATAGAATTCGAAAAATTTCAAGTTTTCTAAATTATAAATTCTTGTATTGTACATGTATCTTGGAATAGAATAGTAATAAACTAGATTATGTTTATCTAATGTTACTCGAGAGTTCCCGTAAATTAACGGTAACGGTAACACAGGTTAAAAAACTCCGATCAATTATTTGTGATTGTAAAATTTTTTTAAAACAACCATTTATAGTAACGCTTAAAAATCAGAACTTAAAAAATTTTGATAAAACAATAAGAGAACTCAATGAAATATTAGTGGGTGATAGTATACAGTGACGGCTAAATGTTTTACAACATGAAAAATTTCACGAAAATAATTCTGGTGCCTTAGTTTTTATACTCGTTTTAAAGCTAATAACCTAGAGAATTTTGTAAAATATCGATATAAAAAATATTATTAGGAAAACTAAGTGATCGACACAAGTTTTTTAACTAGTGAAAGTTTGACTAAATACGTACATGTATTTTTTTCCAAAGCAAATCCTG